GCTTTGTGATAATTGGATTATCTTTCTTTCCCTATCTTTCTTTCCCTGTCAGGTTTGGTTTCCTCCTCCCCTTCTTTACCTCTTTGCCTTTTGGCTGCGTGCAAGTGGGTCCTTGTGACACACGGGGATGGGGGCAGCCACCGCTCAACCTGTCATCCACGTGGCTGGCCTTGTACGTAAGAGGTTATGAACAGGTGGAGCTTTCCTTACCTCTTCCCCGTCCCCCTTTTTTCCTTTTCCTTTTTTCTTTCCCCTTTTTTGCGCTCTGATTCACAATGTGACAATATATAATATCGGATACATACACAAAGTTATAACACATAATACAACAGTAAAGACATACTACTGTAATATGGTCAAAAGAACTGCCAGGTACACCGTGGACAGAGAGGGAGAAGAGGAGGACAACAAACGAAGGGCTGGGACAGACTGTGTATATAGAAAAGGGATCTGGTCATCTTATTCAATCACTCGACTAATCACCGAACAAAATAAGATCAACCAAATTGATCAATTAGCCATTCGACCAATCAAACCGTTCGATCAATCAAGATGGAAAGCAATCAATAAAAGAATTGAAAAAACGATATAGGAAGCAGTATATCAAACAAGAAGACAAGCATGTCAGAATGCGGCGACGAGAAAGGCGTGAACGAGATTGCCAAACTCCCATCGGATCAATCTTATTCAATTACTTGATTACCCCTTTCTTAATCACCTTTTTTTTTTAAACTGCGCCTCCCGCCCCCCCCCCTGTCTCCTCCTTACCCCCCCCCACCTCCCCCCTTTCCCGCCCGAACGAAAAGAAAGGAACAAATAAAAAAAAATAGGGAAAAATAGCGAAACAAAATCTGCTACTTACAACTTCAATTTTCAACGCGCAGATCAAGAGGATATTACAGTATTAGGTTAACGAACTTGGCTTCAGAGCGTGGGGACACTCAAAAACACACGGCATTATCTTAAAAATTAAAAGAATTAATTAAAAACTTTAAAAGGCATGAATAAAGTAGTCTGTGTGCAAGTGCCGGCGCGTGCGTAGTAGAGACAGCAACGCACAGAGACGAGAGAGAAAGAGAAAAAGAGAGACGAAGAGAGGAGGATGGGGAGAGAGAGGGAGTACAGAGAAGGGGGAAGAGAGAGAGAGAGAGAGCAACGCAAAGAGACGAGACAGAAAGAGAGAGAAAAAGAGTGAGAGAGACGACGAGATGGAGAGGGGGAAAGAGAGGGAGTAGCAAAGAGGGAGTAGCAGAGAGGGAGAGAGAGAGGGAGTAGCACACACACACACACAGAGGGAGTAGCACACAGAGAGAAAGAGAGCAACGCACAGAGACACGAGAGAGAGAGAGAGAGAGAGAGTTACCATAGCATAGAGCTCGAATGGAGAAGGATGCGCTTTGATGAAGAAGTCCGTTCCCCAGCGGATGGCGTCGAGAGCTTGGTCGAACTCGCCGCACTGTCGAAAGCGATCTGAGTACTCGAGAACTCCCCAGGACAGCATGGTCATGGTAAACGCCATCGGAAAGACGAATTTCACATTATCTCCAGCATCATAATAGCCTCCAGTCAGGTCCAAACCTACGTCCTGACCGTCCAATAACCCTGAGTGAGAACGCCAGGACACACGGTTCGTACTCGGCAACTTGCCTGATCTCTGAGCCTCCAAGAACAGCAGGCATTTCGACAAGGCGTCGACATAATCCACACACTGTCCTGCTGAGCTTGACCCGGAAAATACAATCCCTTCCCCCATAATCTCTCTCTCTCTCTCTCTCTCTCTCTCTCTCTCTCTCTCTCTCTCTCTCTCTCTCTCTCTCTCTCTCTCTCTCTCCT